CATTGATCATTAAACAAAAGTTTATTTAATACTCTAGATTGGACATAAAATGCACACCAGATCTTGAAAAAAAAAACTTGGTACAACTCTCGCTCCAATGACCGTCGTTTTACTGCTTTGAGTTCTTTCAGTACTTTGATTCTTCTCCAATTGCTATGCGTCATCACTGGGAACTACACGCTGTTGCAGGAAAAACAGTGCTGCTCAAATCCACGTTAGAGGTCGATCAACAAGATGCTAGACTTTGTGATTTTTGTAGCAACTTTCCTTATAGCTTTACTGACAGCCATTATCTACTTGTATCCGGTAAGAATTTGGTATATTTATGAAATGTCATCTATTTTTTTTACTTAGAGTGAAACGTTAATGTTTGATCATAATGATGGAATAGTTATACAGAGACATATGGGACGTTATTTACTTCGTGTAGCATTCCAGATGTGACATGTCCTGGAAGTGTAAAACGTGAATAGAAAAGGTGTCAGGTTATAGTTTCTACATACACGTAGCTTGTTGCTCATTAACAATGTTAACCTGACACAATTATTTACATGTCCTCTTACGTCAAACAAAGATAAAAGAAATTTAAACATATTAAACGACGTTTCCTAGCTATCCTGTTCTGACTCAAATTTTGATGTTACAAACGTCAAAAGGTGAGTCACATTGGGACAAAAACACGGACTCTTAGGCCTAGAAATAAGCAGAAGAGCATTAGCTTAATCATGGATGCCGAGCTGGAAACACCACTGAACACAGTATTCATAAACTGTAATTTCCCATCTCCACTTACCCATCATTAGAAATGGGATATTTAAATGCCGATGTAACAGAAAGAAGTTACAAAACCAACTATGCACTTAGTACACTGCAGTAGTGACATAATTAACACACTTTACATATTATTACATATTCCTCATCATAATTTTATTGGATATTGACAGTGGCGGATCCAGAAATTTTGAAAAGAGGGGGCCCGGCCAGTTTGAGGTCAGGATAGGGGCCCACAGCCACACCAAAAAAACCTTGATTTATTACATGTATATATTTTGGGACATAAAAGGGGGGGGGGCGGGCCCCCCAGGCCCCCCTCTAAATCCGCCAGTGATTGAAACGGAAATTGGTTTTTTGGATTAAGTTTCATATAAAACGTTAGACCTACGTTTTTCTCCAATTTCTTAAACATTAACATTAAAAATATTAATTTAACAATCATTTAAATAGTTCGTAGCTGCCTATGTACTGGGACTGTATTTGGCTAACGAAACACGTTTTAGAAGAAGCTCGGGATACCTCTCTCTTGACATAGTTATATAACCTTGTCTGTTTATGCTCCTAAACATTGTGATAAGATCTGAATGAGGCACACATTTGCGGTTATTAGGCTGTGAAGGTTAACATTATTAGCTTTTACGTAAGACCTGCATAAGGCAGTAGGTTAATAATAGGAGAGATGGCATACCACAGAAGTTGGGGACGTGCCAAGATGCAGCAGTACATATAGAGTGGCAGGACCACAGAAACTCATTGCGGGAGATACCCGTTGACCTTTGTTAGTGGTTGTCCAATCAAGAAAAAACTGTTTATATTGTAAATCTGTATACAATTGTATATACTGGACTTTGTCAACAAAAACCTGAGTTCCCAAATGGATAAGAAATCTAACCAATCTTTTTGAAAATACCTTTAAAACCCTACCAAAACATACTTTTACGAGGGTTGTGCAAAAACTTCGTGGACAATGACATTTTTTGTGAAAATGAATGGTTCTATATAAATCTGTTGAATTTCAAAATATTTCTTATGAAAAAACAAATCAGAATTATTTATTATTTTAAGTTTTTATTAAAGTCGCAGATAGTGCGCATGGGCCAAGGTTAAAATGACATAAGCTCTGATATAAAGTGTTCGGATTACATTGATTATTTTCTATATAAGGCAGGTCAAAAATTGATAAAAATATTATATAACACAAATAAAGAGGCAATAATCATTTTATGATATCTTAAGTATCACGTAATATACAGACAGTACCAATACTACAGTAGACAGTACAAAACCCTAACAAATGTGTGTCAAAACTCGACAAATAAAGCGACGTCGACTATCCGCACGGAACAGCGTCCGATAAAATATAATTTTTTTATACGGATGAAGCAACGAAAGAAACAAAACATTTGTTAAAACAACTCAAATTTATTGATATTTAGTGAGCAAATTGAATCACCCTATACCTTAACTAAAATATATAGTGTTTTTATATCTTTTAACTGTTAAAACTTTTTTTTTAACTTTTCATCTTCACTGATAACTTAATACTGTTCCTTTTTCATCACATTGAAATTTACTTTTCTCTACTTTTTTATTTCTTTTAACTAGCTCCGCACCCTACTCAGAGTATTCAAAACTTGAGGGCGAGAAGTGTTGAGAGACAAATCGATCGATTAAGGAATTTATCTGCATATTCAAGAAAATATCAATACATTGATCATTAAACAAAAGTTGATTTAATACCCTAGATTTCACATGAAATGCACATCAGATCATGAAACATATCAATGGTACAGCTTTAGATCTCATGACCGTCGTTTTATTGCTTTGAGTACTTTCAGTACTTTGATTCTTCTTCAATCGCGGTCCCGTAGGGATCCGATCCGGGTTGGAATAGGTCCTCAGTACCCCCTTACTTGTCGTAATAGGCGACTAAATGGGGCGGTCCCACGGATGAGACCGTATAAACCGAGGCCCCGTGTCACAGCAGGTGTGGCACGATAAAGATCCCTCCCTGCTTGCTCAATGGCCCTGAGTGCCGAGCATAGGCCCAAATTTGCAGCCCTTCACCGGCAATGGTGACGTCTCCATATGAGTGAAATATTCTGGGATGGGACGTAAAATGGTCTTCAATCAATCAATGAATCTTTAATCGCGAAGCGTCATCACTGGGAACTTGTTTTACACGCTGTCGCAGTAAAACGATCCACGTTAAAACTCATTCAACAAGATGCTGGAGTTTGTGATTTTTGCAGCAACTTTTCTTATAGCCTTATTGATAGCCATAAATTACTTGTATCGGGTAAGATTTTTGTATATTAATGACATGTCATAAATTTTGTCACTTAAAATGTAACGTTAATGGTTGATCATCATGATGGAATAGTTATACAGAGACACATGGGACGTTATTTACTCCGTGTAGCATTGCAGATGTTACATGTCCTGGAAGTGTGAAATGTGAATTTAAAAGGTGTAAGGCTATAGTTTTTACAAATACGTAGCTTGTTGCTCATTAACAATGTTAACCTTACACAATTATTAGCATGCCCTCTTACGTCAACCAAGATAAATTAATGTAAACATATTAAATGATGTTTCCTACGTTACAAACGTGTAAAGGTGAGTCACATCGGGAATAACCAGAGGTACATTAACTTGTTTATAGGTGCCGACCTTGAAACAGAACTGAATACAGAATTCATCAGCTGAAATTTCTCATTCCTCCTTACCCATCATTAAAAATGGGATATTTAGATGCGGATGTGATAGAAGGAAGTTAGCAAGCCAATTATGCGCTTATTACAGTGCAGTAGTGACACAAATAAACACACTTTACACTTTATTACATATTCCACTTGATAATTTTAATGGATATTGAAACGGAAATTAGTTTTTGTGATTTAGTTTCTTATTAAACGTTAGACCGACCTACGTTTTCTTAACCACTAACAATTTTAATTAAACTATCATTTAAGTAGTGTGTGGCTGCCCATTTACCGGGTCTGCATTGAGCTAATGCAACACGTTATAAAAAGCTCAGGAAAGCTCAGCTCTCTCTCATGACATAGTTATATATAACCTTGTCTGTTTATGCTCCTAAACATTGAAATAAGATCTGAATGTGGCACACATTTTGCTGTGAAGGTTAACATTAACAGCTGTTACGTAAGACCTGCATAAAGCAGTAGGTTAATAATAGGAGAAGTAGCATTCCACAAAAGTGTGGAAAGTGCCAAGATGCAGCAGTACATATAGAGTGGCAGGACCAGAGAAATTTATTGCGGGAGATACCCTTTGACCACAGTTTTCATAAGAAATATTTGAGAGTGTTACTTTTATTTGTTTGTTATTTTGTTCTTCGGGTTTCATGCATTTCGCCCGGTCCAGTTAATCAAAATTATTACCGGTATATATAAGTCATTTTGTGTCTAAACATATCATATCAAAAGAATTTGATTCATAGGCAATGAATTTTAAACAAATAGAAGGGGGGTTGAGATCTTTCACCGTTCAGAAAAATCCGTCAGAGAATACATGTAAAAGATTATTGGCCTTGTCATGATTTGGATTTTGCTCGTTTAAAGAACTTGTTATTTTTTAATTTTTATTATTTTTTCATAAGAAATATTTGAGAGTGTTACTTTTATTTGTTTGTTATTTTGTTCTTCGGGTTTCATGCATTTCGCCCGGTCCAGTTAATCAAAATTATTACCGGTATATATAAGTCATTTTGTGTCTAAACATATCATATCAAAAGAATTTGATTCATAGGCAATGAATTTTAAACAAATAGAAGGGGGGTTGAGATCTTTCACCGTGATGATATATGCTAAGAATGAAAATTTTAAATTTACTGTATTAATGATTCCCACAGCCTCATTATTATTTTTATACAAAACTAAGGATGAATGTTTCATTTATACTTTCTCTCTCTCTCTCTCTCTCTCTCTCTCTCTCTCTCTCTCTCTCTCTCTCTCTCTCTCTCTCTCTCTCTCACACACACATACACACACACCATACACACACCCTTTCTCACACACCCTTACACAACCTTCTTGTCTCTCACCCTTATGCACATACACGTCAACGCGAACGTTAAACCTTTGGTTAGAAACAGTAAATGTTTCAAAAGTTTACACCATTATATGACAGGGTCAGTCCTAGTAAGATAAAGTAAATGTTACCAAAGTTAACACTATTATATGACAGGGTCTGCACTCCATACATTTATTCCAGTAGTTCACAGCTGACTGAAGATGGAGGTTCTGGGGATTGTTGATGTGCCCGCTTTGCTCCTAACTCTGTTATTGTTCTGTTTGTCTGTTTACTTGTAAGTTTTCAATCTCACCTTCTCAATCTTAGTTTGAAATTTATTTATAAATATCTTTTTTAAAAATAGAATAACATTATCGAAACTTAGTCTTGCATTCCAAGTTTATTTTTTTCAATTTAGATTATACGGTTTAACTGTTCTGACATAAATATGATTTTGAATATATTAGTATAGGATCCTTTTACTTTTCAGTTACATGTAATAAACGTAAACCAAATATTCTTTAAATCACATCTTTTGTATCTTTTGAATAAGGTGTAAGCTTTTAAAAGTTTATTCGGCAAAAAGTTGTTAGATTTTTTTTACTTTCTGTTTCTTTGTGTTTTTTCGTTCAAATGGTATTTCAGTAATTTCAATCTTACTCTTACGATTTGATTGTTTAGTAATTGTTTAATTGATACAAAAGACAGAATTCCTTTATCAATTATGCTTTATGTATTTACATTTATTAAAATGATGTAATTAAAAACTCACTTTAACAGGATATTTGAGAAGAACTACGTTTTTCTTACTAGTTATGAGTCCAATTTTTACACTGAATTGACGATGGATTTTCCTGTTATTTCCTAATCAAATGGCGACAATTATCTCCACCCGTGGTTTCATACAAAATCAAGTTCCTGATGTTACTTTTGTTTCATATTTCATAAACATCGTCAAATTGATCTCATATTATTTTGTTATTGAAAACGATATGATATACATATATTATGATGTGATATTATACAAGTACATATTTCAATAACCTTAATGAACAATCGAATAAATCTGTGAACTGTGTGATTAAGAACAAAACAATATTTTTTTTTTAAATCATTCGGATTTCTTAACAAAAACTCTAGAGACAATTTTTAAAACGCTACAATTTTTTCGTTGACAATATCTATGCAGTATTTAGATGCTTTTTCTGTTAGAATTCTAATGGATACAAATAGTTTTTATTTCTCTCGCAACCTGATTCTTCATTCTTAAGAAAAGGAGCACACGGCGGGTGTGAACAGTCGGCAGGGAACGCTCACTCCTCCATGGCCCCTGATCCAACCTCCGATGTTTTGGAGGTCCGTGTTTCTTTGCTCCTATTTTGTATTGTTTTATGGACTTTTGATCTTGAATACTCATCGTTGTCTCCATATGTTTCATTTGAAAAATAATTATAGTATATACATGTAAGTATTGATGTTTTAGAGGCCCACCTCTCCTTCAGCGCAAGGAATCAATAAAATGATAACCATGTGAAATTTGAAACTTTCATTTACTTATAATGACATGACACTTAATTCCTCAAAGGAGTCCGCATAAATTTCAAAAGTTGAATTGATAAAATGAAATAAATAATCAGCGGAACATGTCATTTGAAGAAAAGATTCCATTTAGTCAGATTTCATTTAGGACAACAACATATGTACTAGGCATTGCTTTGTAAAAATTTTCTTTTGAATGAAAGGTATTCAAGATATAAGTTGAGCTTTTGGAGTAGACGTGGTGTCCCTCATCCTAAACCAACATTATTCAAAGGCCTTAGCCCTTTGATGAAAGATGTAAGTCATTGATATAATTCAGCATTTCTATTTATGAAATTTATTATTTAAACATTAATTTATCAATTAGGATTTATTCATTTAATATTCAAAAACTGAATATTGACATTAGTTAAATACAATTGCAATTTTAGGTACTTTTATAGTAATCATTAAAGCGATATATATCCTTTTTGAAAATAAATACTATATTAAATAATCTTAAAGGTACGTTTTCAATCTCTTTTTTACCACGTAGGGTGTTGGAGAATTTGACTTGAAAATGCATTCGACGTACGACAAGGTTGTTGGGTAAGTACTCCACTGAACTTACAAAGTCATTGTTTGTACATGGTGGTCTCACATAAAAAATTGTCACTTAGTCACTTACATATTTACATATTTATGGGAGAGCTATTCGTGACAATACATTCATTTGTTAATTCATCGATATGAATGACGTGGAAAAGTTTAAAATTAACAGTGATATATTAGACACTGTGATATTTACGATTATTCAAAAAAGAGTTGTCAGAGAATGGGAGCGACATTTATCTCTAACCGTGGTTTCATACATTTCTTGATTCAACTTATTTTATCTTATTTCAAAAACATAATCAAATTGATCTCATTATTTTAATATTGAAAAATTATGATATATACATATATTATGATGTAATACTGTGCAAGTCTATATTTCGATAAACTTAATACACAATACAATAAATATGTGAATTGTGTGATTAAGAACAAAATAAAACTTTTTTAAGAATCATTCTGATTCTTGAACAAAAACTCTGAAGATAATATTACAAATACTAGAATTTTCTCGTTGACAATATCTATGCAGTATTAAGATGTTTTTTTCTGTTAGAATTCTAATGGATACAAATAGTGCTTGTTTCTCCCGCAATCTGATTCTACATTATTAAAAGAGAACGTGCTGTGGCATTCAGTTATGCATTAAAATACATAAACGACGTTAACACCAATAAATTATATTTATTTTTATTCAAATGTCGACTTGATAAACAAATATCACATTTATCTGGAAAATAAAGGACCATTTGTTCCATATTTGGATGCTTTATTGCCTATAATGGCTAAAGGCAAACTAAAAACTACGCAACATAACAAGAAGACATCAGCTTTGCCATCATCAATTCCTCAAATATACATGTAGTAAAAACATTTCACTATCACCCGCAGACCTATGGTATTTAGAGCATGTTCTGAATAGGATCAAGTTATAATCTAAGGTGTGTTACTGACAGATAAGTTGGTGTTACAAGGTTTCAACAGTCTCGTTTGAGTTTGAACATTTACAAATAATATGATAGTAAGATTACCTTTTTTGCAAATGCATAAGTAGTTTGGATAAAATATGACAACAAAGTTTCAAAGCTTGATAATTACTTTTATACTAATTATGACTAATGATACTAAGTTTACTCATTGGTTCAGTAAGTAGGGTCCATGGCAGTGTAACTAATCGAGTGGGATGTCTATATTTTATAGGCAATTGATTTCATTTGATGTGTCTAGGGAGGTTTTCTTATCCGTTTAGTTTTCAGAGATTAATCAATGATTGGTACATCCATCTTTTTTATATAAATCAAATTTTATAAAATGGAGTTTTAAATTTAGGCACAATTATATTAAGGCATAAATATAGACTACTTTTCAACATAAGGACTTTGTTTTTGTTATTAATAGTATATACACGTATCACAAACCGTCCCTTCTGATCCTGGACCCAGAGCTGACACGAGATATCATGATCAAGGATTTCTCAACATTCCCGAATAGACCGGTAAGAATCATTAAGAATTCATTACATAACGTAAGTTTCTTATTGCAAGCATTCATGCAAACTTATACTGTGTACGATAAATTTATTTAAAACCGGTTTCAACAACAAAAATACATCAGCTTTAAAAAGCTTTTTGTCGACTTCGTTTAGGATTTACGTACTGCTAAACGAATACACGTGTAGCACAATGGTCAATTGGCTATAATAATGATGCCAAGACAAGAGGTTTATCCGGTTACTAGTCTACCCCTTGCATTGATCTACTAAAGGTAACCTAATAAACCAAAGCTTTATACGGTCACTGCCCTAATAAAGCCTCTAATTTGTCAAAAATAGTTTTGGACGTTCAAATATAAAAAATATTTGCAGGATAAACAAAAAACATGATAACCGTCTTGAAATATAAGCGATATTTGGGCTCTGGTCAAAAACGTAAGAGGGCTCGGCAAGCCTCGCCCTCTATTATGTTTTCTTACCCTCACCAAAATATCGCTTATATTTCAAGACAGTACCATGTATTTTATATTTATCAAACCAATTTTCTGAGGTTATTCTATTGTGGACTGATGATACAAACAATTCTTTTTCTTCGGAGGAGACTTAAGGGGATGAAGGACCTTTAGCTGAAAAAATACCTGTCATTTAATTTTTTTCATATTTTGTATATAGTTTATTTAGTATGTCCTACATACTATAAAGCAGACATAGCAATACGTTTCTAGACTTATTTCTGAGATATTGAGTGACAAATACCATACCCCATAGTGTCTGAGCGGAGTTTTTATTCTCCGTGTTTCTGGGTCCATTACTCGGTCGATAATTGAAATTTTTCACCATAGATAAAAAATATACCAG